CCGCAGCCTCGACCTGCTGGGCTCTGGCGATCCTTCCGCCTCAGCCTTCTGAGTAGCCAGAATTACAGGCATGCACTACCACGCCCGGCTGATTTTTTGATTTATTGTAGAGATGAGGTCTCGTTGCCCAGGTGGGTCTTGAAGCCGCGGGCTCAGGCAATCCACTCACCTCAACCTCCCAAAGGTGCGGGATTACAGGCTGAGCCACTGAGCCCGGCTAGAGTAACATTTTTTTTTGAGTCAGAGTCTCACTCTGTCGCTCAGGCTGGAGTGCAGTGGCACGCTCATGGTCACCATAGCCTTGACTTGCTGGGCTCAGGCAATCCTTTCACTTCAGCCTTCCAAGTAGAGGAAACTGCAGGCACGCGCCACCATGCTCAGCTAATTTTTTGATTTATTGTAGAGATGAGGTCTCAAGTTGCCCAGGCTGGTCTCAAACTCGTGGGCTCAGGCAATCCTCTGATCTCGGCCTCACAAAGTGCTGGGATTATAGGCGTGAGCCACCGTGCCCGGTTAGACCAACATTTATTTCTATTATGAAAGTCTTGGTCAAACTACTGCCATCTTGCAGGTAGTTAGGGCAGGCTTTTGTACTGTTTACACATGATATTTGCAACCTGTGCTACCAACCATGCAAGAAGATGAGTTAAATAAAGTACTCTTGAGCTTAGAGTATGTTAAATTCAAGGATCTACGATTCTCACCATTATCTTCAGAACACTCCTGTGCAAAGTTATTAACACTACTATCCCCATTTCACAGATATACAAACTGAGGCAAAGAGTTCTGAGGCTCAAGAACTTACCATGAGAAGCTTCTGGAAGCAGAGGCCTTTGTGTAGTCAGCGCATTCTCCCAAATAAATCAGCTCATCTTCAGTGTCTTCAGGAGTCCCACAGCTGATTCCGGCACATCGAAGTGCAGGGCTCAGCAGCTCACCCAGTGTGGGGAGTCTATATCCTACAAAACAAACTCCCAGTGAACCCTGCTGTCCTGTGCAGATGATGGAACGGCTGTGTCACTGCCTCACTGACGACTGTGCCAGGTGTGATGCTTTCTGACCAGAGCAGGTGAATTTGAAAGAGCTGCATTTCATTTTACTTGGAATTATTATATGCCTTTGGTTGTATACTCTTTTCTTTGAGTTGAAGTCTCACTCTGTCACCCAGGTTGAAGTGCAGTGGCATGCTCACGGCCACCACAGCCTTGATCTGCTGTGCTCAGGTGATCCTTCTTTCTCAGCCTTCCAAGTAGCGGGAACCACAGGTGTGCGCCACCTCACCCAGCTAATTTTTTGATTTATTGTAGAAACAGGGTCTTACCAAGTTGCCTGGGTTGGTCTCAAACCCCAGGGCTCAGGTGATCCTCTCACCTTTGCTTCCTAAAGTGCTGGGATTACAGGCATGAGCCACTGTGCCTGGCATATTTTTCTTTAAAGTGAGAAAACATATATTCAATTACTCCAAGCTCACCCCTCACCTTAGGAGATTTCTGGAAGGAGTAATGAACCCACCATGGCCTTCCTGTGCTCCCTGGGGGTCAGAACACATGGTGTGAAAAACAAACACCACAGTGCAAACTACTATAGGGTGATGACACTGTCGACACCAAAGCAAAGGTCTATTTACAGACCATAGCTTGTGAGAAATACCTGAATAACATCTCTGCCGAAACATTTAGGCTTCAGCACAAAGTTAAAAGAAATAAACGAAAAGTAGGAGAATACATAGACAAAGGCCACCAAAACAAAGAAGGCTCTTCCTTTAGGACAGGGAATCTGCTGGCCCCTGGTGGCGCTAAGGCCAACTGCACCGCAGCCTCGCAGGCTGCTCCACACGACAGGCAGTAGTAGTCATGATATTTGGCTTAGACTACACACAGGCTATGTTACGTATGGTATAAACTAATGACATGTAAACATCTGTGACAAAACTAGTTAATGCTCAGAAACTGTGGTTTTACTGAAGCAGAATGTAACCAACAATGATTTGGGGTAGGACTCCAACACAATCTTGGGGAAGAAAATTTAATGTAAATATTTAGCCATTAAAACATACAAATAAATAAATAAGCTCAGAGTAGCTGAGGAAAAAAACACAAATAGGCCTAACTGCCAATTTCTGTTCAGTCCAAGATATTCTATTTCCAAAATAGTGATGATAAAATATACAAGCTAACTAATAAGAAGGTAAAGAACATTCAACATAAAACAACCTCAAATAAAAATAAACCCAGACAAACTCTAATTATTTTATTTCTGTATATCAAGACTACAAATAGCATTTAAACACTTAATTTATTATTCAAATTAAGAAATTATACATTTTGTTTTAATAATGGTCATGGTCTTAAAAGTGTCATTCAGTTTTCTCGCATTTAGAAGTATATTGCTAATTATGGTCAATTAACTATGACAACCCACAGAGCCTCCAGTGACAGTAAGATACTAGACATAGAAGACATGAATAAAGATTTAGATTCCTCCCCCTGGGACCCCTGGCATCAGCAAAGGGTCATTTGATTCCCACAGCTGATGCTCTGAAATGCTTTCTTGCTTTTAGAGACTAAAATCACCCAGCAACAAGTCAGGTCCTGATAAAGTGCCTTATTGCAAGAACTACTGAACGCCTCTCCTCCCTGGACAAATGTCAGGGACTGTCCAGTCTTTGTGTCAAAGCAGCACCAGGAAGCAGGGGGTGCCGAAGCGTGGCAAGTTGCCCCCAAATATCCAGGAAGACTGGCAGTGCAGCCTGGGGGCAAGCAGGGCGGGCGCATGGTGGAAAGACCCAGCACGGCAGGCATCGGGACAAAGATGCAACCGCTACTTTGGTTCAAACAACTTTAATGGATACTACATTGTCTGTCCTCCCCCAAGTCACTGGGAACCGCGGGTGACACATGTCGGCACTGGGCAACCCTCCTCCTTCACCCCCCGAAAGCTCGCCAGGCACAACAAGGAGACAGAAATAGGACAAGGACAACAAATGAAGTCCCCACCTCATATCCACAGACAGTACTACCCAAACCACCATGATGCAGGTCAAGGGTATACTGAAAACAAGCATGCTAGTCCCATGTTGGGGAAATGGCTTTAAAAGCACAAATACAGTATCACCATCGTCGTTTATTTTCCAAACCTCACCACTCTGGAAAAGGAAGCAGAAAAAAATGTCTTTAGTTTTAACAATGAGGCTGTAAACAATCTAACCACACGAGAAGCAGCGGCCCCCTGGGAGTGGCATGTCACCCCCCCAGAGCCTGCATCTCTGTTGCCTGCACGGCCTGTCTGCACCCTGGTGCCGCATGCCCAGGAGGGCTTGGATCTGATCAGCAAAGCCAAAGCTTCATCTTTGGTTAATTTCACTGAGTTTGCCACTAGTCTAAAAACTGTGCTCTTCTTGGCAAAGTTACTAACCTAGCCACATGGCACATAACATTTATTATTTTAAGTTGTTTGAAAAGCAATGTCCATCTAAGTAAGGGACCACATCATAATAAAAATCATTTAAAAAGTGAAGGAGGGGAAGAAAGAAGGAAGGCGCATGGGAGAGCCTTGGGTGTCCAGCCGAGCATCCGCGTGGGCCTGGGGAGGCTCTGTGACGGAGGCACTGGTTCTCGGTTGAGGGTCGGATCCCAGCATCATCTCAGCTCAGCTCAAAGCCAGCAGCACATTCAATAGCGTAGAGAAGCTTACTCCGCAAAAGTGTCTCGTCATAGAACTCTGGGAGCTTCAGCAGGTTCATGCAGGTGCTGGCCGTGGGCAGCCGCTCCAGGTCGGAGCCTCCGTTGTGGATGCAAAATGCAGGATACAACTCCTGAAAAAGGGCGTGTGCACAGGATGTGGCTTTAACAGGCATGGCTTTACATGAATTTAAAAAGCACACCACGCTTGCTAGCTTCAATCAGAAGGCAGTTATCACCTGTCACATTTTTCCAAAACCACATTTGCTTTTTAAGTTAATTACACGAATAACTTACCTCTAAATTGTATCAAATATTGTGCATGGTGCTTAAAAAAGAATAAATAAATACTAACATTCATGCATAGGAAACAATGATTTCAGTAAATAGGGACTCTAAAGAAATTTTTTTGGGGGGGGTCTTTTAAAGATTTGTTTAAACCGGGCTCGGTGGCTCAGCCTGTAATCCCGTGCCTTTGGGAGGCTGAGGTGAGTGGATTGCCTGAGCCCGCAGGTTCGAGACCCGCCTGGGCAGCAAGACCTCATCTCTACAATAAATCAGAAAATCAGCCTGGTGTGGTAGTGCATGCCTGTAATTCCGGCTACTTGGAAGGCTGAGGCAGAGGGATCACTGGAGCCCAGCAGGTCAAGGCTGCGGTGGCCGGGAGCGGCCACTGCACTCCAGTCTGGGCGAAAGAGTGAGACTCCAACTCAAAAAAAAAAAAAAAATTTTTGTTTAAAATTTAAAAAGACATTAAGAGTAAAGAGTTGCTGGCTTGGTGGCTCAGCCTGTATCTTGCGCTTTGGGAGGCTGAGGTGAGTGGATAGCCTGAGCCCGCAGGTTTGAGACCCGCCTGGGCAACTTGGAGAGACCTCATCTCTACAATAAATCAAAAAATTAGCTGGGCATGGTAGTGTGCGCCTGTAGTTCCAACTACTTGGAAGGCTGAGTAGGAAGGATCGTCGGAGCCCAGCAGGTTGAGGTTGCAGTGGCCGGGAGCAGCCACTGCACTTCAGTTGGCTGACAGAGTGAGACTCCAACTCCAAAAAAAAAGAGTAAAGAGTTGATGGTACATAATTGCTTATATTAAAAATGGGAAAGACTGGCTGGGCACAGTGGCTCACGCCTATAATCTCAGCACTTTGGGAGGTTGAGGTGAGAGGATTGCCTGAGCCCAGCCTAGGCAACTTGGTGAGACCTCATCTCTACAATAAATCAAAAAATTAGCGTGGTGGCACGTGCCTGTAGTTCCAGCTACTTGGAAGGCTGAGGCGGAAAGGGTCACCTGAACCTGGCAGGTGAAGGCTGTGGTGGCCATAAGCGTACCACTGCACTCCAGCCTGGGCGACAAAGTGAGACTCCAACTCAAAAAGGGAAAGACACCCTCAAGAAGAAAGAAGAGGAGTGGGGTGGGGGCGGGGAATGGCAGCCAGCTGACTCCTTCAGATGAATGACATTTGTAGATTTAACTTAGTAACTATGTAGGTGATCAATGAAAAAGAAAAATTCAGCCGGGCTTGGTGGATCAGCCTGTAATCACGCACCTTTGGGAGGCTGAGGTGAGTGGATTGCCTGAGCCTGCGGGTTCGAGACACGCCTGGGCAGTGAGACCTCATCTCTACAATAAAATAAAAAAATTAGCCAGACGTGATAGCACATGCCTGTAATTCCAGCTACTTGGAAGGCTGAGGTGGAAGGATCGCCAGAGTCCAGCAGGTCGAGGCTGTGGTGGCCGGGAGCGGCCACTGCACTCCAGTCTGGGCGACCGAGTGAGACTCCAACTCAAAAAAATAAAAATAAAAATAAACAACAAAAAAAAGAAAAATTCAAAGAAAATGAGATAAATAAAGCAATCTCTAAATAATGAAAGTAAAATGAAACAACTGAACCTATTCATTAGTGGTTTAGTCACACTCTTCCTGCCCAAAGATGTCATAATTTGAATATGAAAAAGAATAATAATAACTGAAACAAATGTTAAAGTCCGAGAGTTCACAATGATGATAATGAACTAAAATTAATTGGTTGCCTTTGTAAGATGCTAGTTAACCTATTCATTATTCTGAAAACTGGCAAATAAAAATAATCAACATTTATTCTTAAAAAAAAAAAAAAAAAACTTAAATAGAGATGGGGTCTTGCTATGTTGCCCAGGCTGGTCTTGAACTCCAGGGCTCAAACAATCCTTCTGCCTCAGCCTCCCAAAGTCTTGGGATTTCAGGCATAAGCCACTGTGCCTGGCCAAAACCAAAGTTTATTCTATCCTTCCGTACAAAATATTCCTCAGGGCAACAAAACAGTTGGTGAGGTAAAATAAAGTTTTTCTTGATAGAAAATTTCAGCTAATGAATGATAAAATTATATAACTGGATAATGGCTATTTTAGAACCACATTAAAGAATGGATCCAGGCAGTGACGATTAATAATAGCTAAAATCATTAGGCATAGGGTGATGAGAAATTCTGAACCCACAGATCAATTCCAGTATCTCAGCGAGATGACTCAAAGCAATGGGTCTCCCGTGATCATTTGAGGAAGCGGGAAGTATACAACATCATCTATGCAATGTCATTGCCAAAAAAGAAAAATTCAAATTTAGAATATGATAAAACCTCTATCAGTTTACAAGATATATCAAGCAGCACAGTTTCTCCATTAATTAAATCACACAGTAAAAATAAAGGGATGAGAAGAGATTACACATGCACCAACCAATGCAATGTATGGAACGTAGCTTGTTTGTACCAGAATCTAAATTGTTTAAAAATAAAAGACAATCAGGGAAATATGAATTCATGTTATTATTTTTAGATGTGATAATGACATTCTGGCTATTGTTAAAACTGCAGTGCAAAATTCTCATCCCTCTAATGCTGAAACCCAGTTCCCTTTCCCAAGAGCAACCAATGCTATCCGTGTTTTAAGTACACGTGTGCAGAGATTTAATGCACAGACAAGTAAATATGTTCTCCTTTCTTTTTTTTTTTTTTTTGAGTTGGAGTCTCACTCTGTCGCCCAGACTGGAGTGCAGTGGCCACTCCCGGCCACCGCAGCCTCGACCTGCTGGGCTCCGGCGATCCTTCCGCCTCAGCCTTCCAAGTAGCTGGAGTTACAGGCGCGCGCTACCACGCCTGGCTGTTTTTTGATTTATTGTAGAGATGAGGTCTCGCTGCCCAGGAGGGTCTTGAACCCGTGGGCTCAGGCAATCCACTCACCTCAGCCTCCCAAAGGTGCGGGATTACAGGCTGAGCCACCGAGCCCGGCTATTTTTTAAGATATAAAATGCACATACGTTATATACATTGTTTTGTGTTGTGCGTTTTTCATTTGATAGTAAGTCCCAGTGACCTTTTCTCATCAACGGCATCCTTGCTTTTGCTCTGAGGCTACGTGGTGCTCCGTGTAGGTGTGTGGCACGAGGTGTTGATGGGCACTGTGTTACCTCAGCTTTTAATAAAAAATGATGCAATGAAAATGTATGCACTTAGTTTGCATAACTGTGCAAATATATCTGCAGGCGAAATTCCTAAGTGTTAGGCACTGACAAATGCAGATTTAATACAGAGATCTATGGAAACTTCAGTCCTTTGATGGTTACAAATAACCAGTACTACATCTTCCTCTGATACACAAACATCATTAGCCACTTGCCTGGAACTTGAGACTCTGGAGATGTGATTTATATGCTCCTTTCCAACAGAAAAACAATGAAGCACAGATGCCCTTCATTGGCTCACTCTTCCAGCCTGTGTGGACCGAATGCCTGGCACAGATTTCAGAGATCTACCTAGCTCAGCCCCTCGCTACACATGTGTGGAAAATGTGCAACTGTCTGAGATGCAGGCTAGCGGCGTGAGCCTCACACTTGTTTCTAACTCTCGGCCCAGCCCTCTACTCCTGAGGCTGTGCCCTGAGAAACCATCAGATGCAGAGGGTAACTCTGTACAAGGATGTTCACAGCATCACAAGGAAGGAACAACTGTGAAAACTAACAAAAAACAGGAAGCAAACTGGAGTAAATTCACACGATGGACCATTACAAAGTTCATTAAAAACATTTCAAGGAATATTTAACATTAGAAAAAATAATCCTGATAAAGTGTTGAAAAAGCCTGTAAAACTGACAACAGGATACAGCTAAATTTTTATTAAAAATTATTTATATCAAGCCGGGCTCGGTGGCTCAGCCTGTAATCCTGCGCCTTTGGGAGGCTGAGGTGAGTGGATTGCCTGAGCCCGCGGGTTCGAGACCCGCCTGGGCAGCGAGACCTCATCTTTACAATAAATTAAAAAATCAGCCGGGCGTGGTAGCGTGCGCCTGTAGTTCCGGCTACTTAGAAGGCTGAGGCGGAAGGATCACCTGACCCCAGCAGGTTGAGGCTGCAGTGGCTGTGGGCATGCCACTGCACTCCAGCTTGGGCGACAGAGTGAGACTCCAACTCAAAAAAAAAAAAAAAAACAACTCTATGAACAGTGATTCAGAAGCATGCCAGCGAATAAACAGAGATACATGATAGAACTTGGGTTTGCAACTGTCAGTGTAAAAATTGGTTCAGGCTAGGATTATCAATGGATGATAAAGTCATTGAGTGAAAGGATGCTGAGGAACAGGATAGTCACATGTTTTCAAAGTTGTGTCCCACAGATCAATTAGTAAACCCACAAGGAAAATGTATCTTTTTGTTTTTGAATTGGGGTCTCACTCTGTCGCCCAGACTGGAGGACAGTGGCCACTCCCGGCCACTGCAGCCTCGACCTGCTGGGCTCCGGTCATCCTCCCGCCTCGGCCTTCCAAGTAGCTGGAAATACAGGTGCGCGCTACCACGCCCGGCTAATTTTTTCATTTATTGTAGAGATGAGGTCTCGCCAAGTTGCGCAGGCGGGTCTCGAACCCACGGGCTC